TCGTGTCGAGGCAAGTACCCTGCTGCTCTCCGTCCGACGAATGCAACGTCGGCATCAAGCTAATAATATATTGATGTAGATGGGGATACCTGCAGTTCATATTGGGATCAGCACTGCGATCGCATTCTTCAACCCTGTCCGATGAAGGCGTTGCTGGCCTGTCGGTGGCTAAAGATGAGAAAAGTCGGTGCACTGACGACGAGTGGAGCGAACTAAGGGAGGAGAAGAGAAGGGAAGGAAGAGACGGACAGCCAAACAATCAGACAGCCAGAAAGACAAGAGGCAAAAAAAAGAAGAGGGGATACGTGGGGCCGTGTTGCGATACGTCCCGATCATCTGCAGAGTGACAGTTGGAACTTGCGGCCTTGTCCAGCCTGAACCATTTTTCCTGTTGTGTTCAGCTAAAAAATTGTCCTACTAGCTACAGGCTACTCCTTAGAGTAACTACTACTACTACTACTACTACAACTACACAGTAGACTAAATTATTACTCCGTGGTCTCATCCCCCCTCCCTCCCTCTCCCTCCCGCGCGCGCCGGCTAGGGGCAAACACTAGCCCTCATCATCCTAGTCAAGTGTGTACCTCTTCTTACTATCGACCTTCCGGAATAAGGCAAGGTTGAGGGAAAATAAGCCCCTCTTACTCACATCTCTTCTTCTTTTTCTCCCTCACTCTATCTAGTTACCTCCTCTTCTGCATGTCAGAAATTTCCACAACTGGTTTGACGAGGGGGTGAGTGGGTGGGATGCGCACATCAAACACGGCTTGCTTGTCTTTTGCAGTGCTTCTTCTCTTCTGCTGCTACTGCTGCCATGCCATGTTTGATCGATCTCCCCATTTCAGTTTGCGCCGTTCTTCTCAACCAAGTTTCAAGTGGATAAGAATGTCATTCCATCTCGGCAGGCGCACAAATAGCAATAGTCCTGATGGAGCCTTTGATCCCGTCCTACTGGTAATTTCCACAACGTCCGGCTCAAACCAACTACTCACACCTTTCCCGCTCTGGGATAGGGAAGGGGAGGGGGGACCCTCCTTTAACCGTGCCCCAGACCCGTTCGGATTCACGGTACTGGGTAATGCACGGATCGAAAACCAAAGTTCCAATGCGAACCAAACCAAACCAAACCGAATTTCAACCACTGGATGTCAAGATTAGACTGATCAAATACTTTAGCTATCTATCTAACGGGAACTATTAACCGAGAGATTGACACACTGGTCGAAGTCTGAAGGAATCAAGAATTGGGATGGATTGATGGATTGACTGATTGACCGATTAATAATAATGAAGATCGGTCGGGAAGCCAGTCCACACTCCCTGACAGCCAAAACACTCCTACTACACAGTACTCCGTAGAAGCACGTACCTTAAGTAACTCTCTGGCACCTCGCTCTGAGCCCCATTCCTCTTTGTACTCGGTGCAGCCGTATCCTCGATCCTGCCCGCACACACAGAGTCGTCGGAGTCGGAGTCGGAGTAGTTACGGGGGAACGTTAGTTAGTTTAGCAAAAGCGGCAGCTGTTGTGGTTTAAGTCTATCTTCTTGCTACTAGTAGCACTGGGTCCGTTGTAACTCTTAGAGCGAGGCTGTTGATTATTCTATTTCCAGTACATCTCATTGAGTTTTCACTTCCAAAAAGATCTTTACTACTTTTTTTTTTTTTTTTTTTTCAGAATTTTTCAAAAATGTCAGAGTAATCATTTTTTGTTTTTTGAAATCTCATTATATTATTTTCGATGCTCTTTTTTTGCTTTTTCTCTTTAGCCTCATTTCTCACTTTGAGGCGCCTCCTCCCTTCCCACACATGCCACTCATCACACTGCCCTCCGCACATGATGCATATCCCTGCTCTGGACTAGATATCGTGCGAGCCCTCTTCTGCAGGTTGTGTGACGGACCAGGCGGAGGCTTGTCCAGTAGGGAGGAGTGGAAGGAACACTGGGGCGCGTCCTTCCCGTGGCGGTCAGCCATCCAGCTGTGGACTGCAGCCTTGTCGCCTTAAGAGAACCCGAGTACGACCTTAGCCGGCCGTTGTGGTTTGGGGGGAAAAAAAAACCGAGAGTAAGGTTTCTAGGGAAATGAACTAAAGTTGATCGCAGACGGGCCATTTATTAATAAAACTCGTAGACTATATATTTTATTACATTATGAGTGTGTGTGGGTGAACCGTAGAGAGAAGGGAGATTTCTAAAGTAGGGCCCAAAAGGGTAGATTAAAATCCTCGATCGATAGATTTTATCCGATCGGAGAAGAGGGGAAAGGGAGGAGTCAGTCAGAAAGAAAGCCTCATCATCTGATGAAAAGCTTCGAGTTGGGGCTATGGAAGTTAGTAGAGGATCGAGGAAAACGCTGGCCAACGCGCCCACGGCTCCTTCCCTCGTACGCACACACACGCACACACGCCCTCCACCCCCCCTTCCCTTCACTCGGAGCAGCAGCCAAGTTCTACGACGGTTCGGTGCAGATGAACAATTCAGCCTCTTAAACCGTGCCCGCGCGTGGTGACCAATCATCGCTGGCCATGCAGAGAGCCTCAAGAGGTGGAGCTCCATTTTGGGTCTAGTCTGGTCGGGTCCTCGTGGACGTGGCATTATTCTTCCTGCTCGAGAAGTGGTCGGCGAGGGGGTGGGAAAAGGAAAAGGGAAGAGGAAAAAAAAAAGGTGAGCATGCTGAGGGAAACACACACACGCACACAACTCTCTCTGTCTCTCCACTCACTACTACACAGACAGACAGACAGACAGACAGACTAGATCAGACAGCTTGCTGCGAGAGACACTCTGAACCCGCCTTTCTTTGCTCCCTCTCCCTCATCTCACACATACACAAGACATTCCCCTCTCCATCCCCTTACCTCTCTCCTCACCCTCTTTCGCGGCTTTTTCTCTATTTATCCCGCTCCGGCAAGAAAAGTCTGGATGGCGTTTGAGTGTCTTAACTAGGATTATTGTCGGTAGGTAGAAATTTTGCTTGTTTTCCTCTCCACCCGGGTTGATGGTGTTGTCCCTCCCTCCAGGCTCACCCCACTTTGTTTGCCTGTCTGCACGCTGTGGCGCGCGCGTCTGGAAGAGTCAGCTTCATTCCCTCCGTCTTCTTCCGTCGTGTCCTGTGGATTCTTCTTCATTATTCTCTTGTTACAGTCCCTACTATTTTGTTGCAGTGGGCATCCAATGCCGTTTTAAAAAGTAATCTAAACCCGAATTTCCTTTGGAGCCTCACTAGTGCTTTCTTCAAAGACAGCAGAACCAAGGACTGACTAACGTTTTACTTGGGAAGCACGCCAACAGAGCCTCCGCATCTGACCAGCCAAGGGAAAAGAAGAAAACAGCACAAGCAAAAAAGAAAAGAAAAGCAAAAAGAAGACGAAAAGGAAGTGGAAGTAATAAAAACAAGAATTGGAACCCGACGAAAGCTGCCGAATAGGCAGAACAGAACAGAGCAGAGACAATAATTCAGTCAGCTCAGCTCTCACCCAGCTAGCCCAGCCCAGCCAGCCAAACGAAACGACCAACCAGAACTACTGCAACTATTATATTTTGTACCTCTTTACTACTTTACTACGGCGACTGCTTCTTACTCCCCTCTCCTGCCGACCTTGCCAATTTCTTGCTACGGTTTTCTTTGGTTCCTCCTAGCGGAAGTACTGCTGCTGCTGCTGCTGCTGCTGCTGCTGCTTGCTGTCTACCACTACCTACCTCTCAACCGTCAAACCAGAAACCAAACCTGCTGCTTTCTCCACCCGCGTTTTTCCAGCCCGGCCGGTGGATCAACCTTCACTTCTGAGTGGATTGATTCTCTGCATTCTCCTCAATTCTACTACCACCACGACGGCCACGCCAAACTAAACTAACTAAACTATCCGTGTGTCTCCATCTGCCTTTTCCCACCTCGCTCTTCCTTTATTACTACTGTGATCCTTCCCCTCGGTTCGGCCGTTCCAGCGCAACTACCTGCTGACCGCTCCGCGGCCATACCCTTAACCTTCTTTTTTTCCCTTTTACCACCTGCCAAGCGCGTCATTAACCCGCTTGCTGGGACCATTAGCTTCATCGGCCACTATTCGTTCCAGTGTCCCTTGATTACCGGACACGGTCATCGTTATTACTCGGGCCTAATATTATCGCTCTTTTCCTGCCATTATTATTATTATTATTATTATTGTTATTACTGTTATTGTTATTACTACACCACCACTCTTATTATTCTTCGCTCGCAACCACTACCGTTCTGCTGCTGGCGCCGTTAGACGATGAATTTTTCCAGCCTCTGATCCCTGTCCCTCCACCTTCTTCTTTTATTCTTCTTTTCGACCCGAGCCGTGACATCGTGACATCGTGACCTCCCTTATCGTCATCACCACCTTTGAGCGCTCAACCTTATCCTGAACTGTTTTTTCTTTCCCCTCCCTTCCACTCCCCCCATCTTCTCCCACCCCCAGTTTTATCCACGCGGCTCGGAATTCCCGCGCGCATGATTTATTGATCTATGCGCCCGGTGGTGCCGTGGTTGACTGAGTCCTGACGTGCAATCGCTTTCAATTGAGCCTCATTGCGCGGTTTCTGCGGCTTTCTCGGTTCCTGACAGCAGGTGAGCCTATTTTGCATCTCCTTCCCTCATCGCTAGTAACCAGAAAACCCCCCGTATCTTGCGACTGGCGCTTTGCTTCCTATCAATTGTCACCTTGCTTCTTCTCTTTCCTTGGCTATTCTTGGCCAAACTTGCATATTGGTTATTGTCGTAATTGGTCCAGCTCGTGGTTCCCCTTTGAGATCTTACAGATCTAGGCTGCTACCTGCTGCCTCTGGGCTATTTGCACGATCGTCTAAATTTTTCCCCATGCCCTGCACGTTCGTCTGGCGTCTCATTCCCCCTTCTGTGACCTGCTCTCTTTCCCCCGAGTGAGCGTTGCACAGGGTATCCCATCTGTACCCTATTCATATCCAACTTTGTCCTTCTCCGTCGTGCCACCGCTTTCTCTAGCCTGTGTACATGCTAACATGGTGCCAGCACACCTGCATTCGACAAGTGGATTGTGTCCTATTCTGCTTGGCGAACCGTTTGAGCGGCTGTCTATTTTCCGGGTTGAAGACTGTGTCCTGAAACATTTCTTCAGGGCACTCGAAAGGTACAGACAGGCCAAATCAAACAGTAAGGGGCGGCGCACCTGATGCGCCTAAAACCGCCGCCTTCATGACAGAATCATACGATCCCGATGAACCTCGCACCCCTGCGTTGAAGCCCACAACGATCAATTACCTGCCAAAGGTGTCACCGCCTCCATTCGATACCGGAGATCAATCACCCAAGGGCGGTCTACCTAAGCACGATGCAGAGGCACAGTTTCCGAGCAGTTCGCGTAAGCTGCCGGAATTCCAAAAGCCCGATTCAATCGAGGGCAACTCGGTGCTGATCAGACATTTAGAGCCTAATCGACCTGACATAGCCTGGTTCGAAACTGAACATCCGCTTCACCGCAGCACTCCAGCGGACGACCCCTATCCGGTCCTTCCCAAGATCCTATTCGCCCCGGAAAAATCCTCCGTGGAGACCAAGGAGCCTGTAGATGTGGCGAGAAAGGCTCTCAATTTGATCAGTCCGAGCGAGCCCAAGGAAGGAGGCCCGTCTGTAGGTCCGAAGGATCCTCCAATCGCCTACAAGGAACCACGCCGACCGTCCATCCCAGTGGAAGAACCTGCGCTCAAAGAAGAACAGCAGCAGCACACGCCGCCTAATATCCCTCATATCTCACATCTATTCCAGGATGGGAAACTACCTGATCCTGAAGCACGATTGAGCAAGTTGCTGATAGCACCGTCGGAGCCAACAGCTCAGCTCCCCGCCCTCCACCCGTCAGCAACGGCGAGCTCCGTGAATCATAACCTGCCCTCCCTTTCAACGGCATTGGCCGGTGTTACCGATGTACCACCACCTGCTGGTGCCGGACGTCTGAATGGCTCGTCTTTCGGGCCTTTGCCTCCGGTCTCATCTTCTTCTCCTCCGGTATCAAGGACAGATCCTGTCTGGGAGCACCAACGCTTAGGCCAGATTCCGCCTCCTCCGTCGCAAGTTCCGCCCAGCCCCTACTCGCACTTGTCACCAGCGAGCTCGAAGGACATGTCGGCCATGTCGTCGCCCGCATCCCAGCAGGCTTACTGGCGGCCGCCTATCAAGGCGGACATAACGTATCTCACTTCAACATATGAGACTGCGCCGCAGACGGCCAAGAGCCCCGCAACAAGCTACCCCACCCCGACAGATCAGACTCCAGCATCAACCTGTGATCGGTCATACAATCCCCCCACACATTCGAACGGAGCAGTCTCCACAGGCACATACAAGTGCCGTCACCCTGGCTGCACTGCAGCCCCGTTCCAAACACAATACCTGTTGAAGTAAGCAGTTTCACGTGCACCGGTCCGGTAACCCAAGCTCATCGCATGTACAGCTCCCATGCAAATGTTCATTCTCAGGATCGTCCGCATTTCTGCCCCATAGCTGGCTGTCCGCGTGGACCCGGCGGAAAAGGGTTCAAACGAAAGAACGAGATGATTCGACATGGCCTTGTCCATAATTCGCCTGGATATGTATGCCCATTTTGTCCAGACCAACAGCACAAATACCCTCGACCGGACAATCTGCAACGGTAAGCCTTTACTCGATCGCATCGAATGTCTTTCAAGCCAGCTCACAAGTCACGAAACAGACACGTCAGGGTCCACCATGTCGACAAGAGCCGAGATGATCCGGCTCTCAGGCAGGTCCTATCGCAAAGGCCAGAGGGTAGTACGCGTGGACGACGCCGTCGGAACAACGTACCGTGAATCAACGACTCACATAGGCCTCATCACCATTTTCATCATCGGCTCAGCGATATGCTCTAAAAGTGCAGGTTACCATTATACGATATTGCATTAGCGACAGCGTCCGTTCGCGTTGATTTATTCTGAGATGAAGAGTTGACTTTCTCAACAACCGTCCATGTGACGTTGTGAGGATAACGCAGTCAATTCTTTGTCTATCATCATCGACCATCATGGCATTCATGTATACTGACTGCACATGCATTACGAACCTTCCCACTATCTAAGCAATCCACCAATAACCCCCTTCTTTTTCACATCTATTCGACTACCCCCTTTTTCAGTGATACCAGATGTTGTTAGAGCCTTGATCTACTTCTACTTCCAACTTCATGTCCTCGTTCATCTTCTTGCATTGCTCGCATCATGTCATTCGCTTCTTGTGTTCGAATAGTTTGATTCCCCCGTTCATCTTGCTAAGTGATCTGGCGAAGTGTGCACGGGTTTGTACAAGACTTTGCTAGTGGGCGTTTTTGCCGTGTCTCTTATTTGTCTTCTCGCACCATTACTTTGCACCACTTCAACCTTATTTTTTTCTTTACTTTTTTCTTCCTCTTCGCTTCTGATTCACAACTACCCAATTTGCGACCTTACTATTTCGCACTTCGCTTCTCCCTCAGACTATACATATAGGAGGTTCTGGCGTCCTCATTTTCCTTTCTTTCTTTTACCCCAATTTTCTCTTTTATTTTGTGGTTGGTAACGAGAGGCGTTTTCTCTTTTCAACGGTTTATTTCATTTCTCATTTCCTTTTATTTACGATGTCTTGATTTGACTTGAATTTACCCCACTTGCACTAGCTAGCTAGCCAGACTGAGCGGCTAGCTGGCTACAATGATATGAATTGAGATCCGATGAACTGGGGAGAAAATATATTTCTAGCGAATAAGGAGGAATAACGAGATTCAACATGAATGAGTTATTGAGTGTGAGTTGATGTAGTAGGTTGTGTTGTCTAGCCAGCTAGCTAGTAAAGTATGCGGCTCAGCGGTGATAAGGAGAGTCACAGTCACACCACGTCAGAAAGCATAAATTGGCAAGGCTGAGAAAGATAACACAAAAGGTACTTAATAAGCAGAACGACTCAAAAGAAGACACGTATAAGTACAGTAAAAGGTAGAATAATGAGTCAATTTAGTAGTTGGTAAGGTAGTAGGTAGTTGACAAGGTGGAGTGTCACTGTCACTGTCCTGCAGTGCTGGCGGTCCAATTTCCCCTCATTTTTAAATCTCAGATGGAATAAAATAATGAAATAAAACCAGTAACGCCTTCCAGGAAAAGCCAGTAAATCGCGCCGTTGGTCCCATTTATCTCCACCCAATCCCGAAATTGTGGATATCCCGTTTGATTTGTTCAGTAGAAAGGTGAAAGTAGGAAAAACTATTTTCAAGAAGAAGAGGGGCAGCAGTAAGAGAGAAAGGAAGAGGGAGTGAGGATCAAAGGGGTGAGGAAAAGAGAAATCATCAAGTCTCTCTCCTCTTATGAATCCTCCTCACATGATCCTTCATGTTATCTACCCTACTAAATACCCGCTGACACCCGTCCCACTCACAAGGTATCTCTGGGTTGTGTTTGGCCTCATGCCGGTCTCGGTCTTTCTTGCTGGAGAACCCGCCCCGCACAGCCTGTGGGCACCCTTCGTACCGGCAAAAGAGATGCTTGCGGTGACGATTATAGTGTTTCCGAAGATCACAGCCCCGACGGAAGACGGCGTGTGAGGAGCAGCCGGGGTATGCACAACGCCAGGTTCCGTCGGGATTTTGGATGCCATAGTTGTTCAGATCTCGCGTCTGGCTGCGGGCGGAGGAGGTGTCGGAGAGTGATTGAAGTTGGAGATCGTCTAGATCGAGGTCGAGATCAAGGTCGAAGTCGAGGTCTGCGGTGGTAGCGGAAGATAAAGATGCGGTGGTTACGGGGGTTAGCCGTGATTGAGAGAAAGAGGACGGAGCTGACTCTGGGAGGTAATAGTCGGCATTTGTGGGGTTAGGAGATGATTGTGATACTGCTATCGCGAGCCATTCTTCTTGATCAATAGGAAAGTATGCGCCGTCTGTGGTTGGTATGGCTGGGGGAAAGGATTCAATTTCGGGTCTGAATGACTGCGGTGGTATGGTCTGGTGTGAGAATAAGGGTGGGTAGGAGTCTTGATCCTGAAAGTAGTGGGTGCCAACGTCTGGCTTCCTTTGATGGAGGAGCTGTGTTTGGTCAAAGGCGTAGGGGACTGACCCAGACATGCTGCGGGCATCTGACAGGGGGGCCTGTTGAAAGGCTATAGCGGGAAAAGGATTTGGCTGCACCTCTGACGACATCGTATTGTGGGTTGAGGAGCCGCCGGGCACCATCAGCATGGCTCTGTTGATAGTAGTCCTTGAGGTCATTGCGGATGGTTCGGAACTGGTCAAAAGTGCCCTAGACACTCGGGTGCGTTTGTTCTGAGAGTAATCAGTATGGAGGGAATCTAGTCCGTTGAGCAAGGGTCTCACCAATGTATCTTTGTCCATGGACGTACCTTCGGCGGTACTTGTAGTTCATGTACTGAGTCGAGTTGGGGTGTTTCGATGGGATGAAGCCTATTTCTTTGGATGGTTTGTCACAGATTGGCGGGCTTGGATGCATTCTGGATATTTAAAGCTAGTAGAAGCCGTGGTTCTCCAACATTCTTATCTTCAGGAGTGTCTCGAATGTCAGATGTGGCTATGCACATCCCCCAGGGCTGACGGTCAACGGGTAGCTGAGCGAATCCCTTTACAGATGCTCGATAATCGGATTTAGGGCGTCGATGTCACTGTACCATTGACTTTGGTACTGGTCCTCATCGCTGGTGGCTCCCACGTTTGCCCTGGAAATGCAGCTCGGGATTCCCGTGTCTAAACTCTCCAGAAGCCAAGGGGAACGTTTATTCGGCTGCTGAGAGGTGATTGGTAACTCGAATAGGCATGCAGAACTAATGAATTGTCATGCACTGCGGCTGAAAGATTAGAACCAACCCTATTCGGATGACACATTTGCTCAAAGACGATCCATCCAATCTGAGGCACAATGCCCAAGCAGATCAATATTAGTGCTCTGATTTTTGGGTGTGCGTTTTCTTTTTCTCTTTGCTTTTCCCGGTTTACCACGCCAAAACAGGACTCTTGCTGCTTATGTAGAAGTAGCAAGTGTTCCATTGCCGCTTAAGTCCGACTCTTTGATAGGGCTGATGTAAAGAGCGTCACAGGATATTTCCATAAGGCACCAGAGAAGTGGTGATGGGTAATACAGACGGTTCTGGACATGAGGATGACGTTTGAGCCCCAATCCAGTAGTTGCAGGACCTTTTGTTCGGCGCTGATAGGGCGCGTCCGTTCGGGGAGTCGGCGGACCAGCGTATGGACGGACGAAGCTGCGTGATGATTGGTTCTGTCGTGTACTTGTTCCGGCGACTGCGTCGTACATATGCATGCGGAACTCTCTGGTTCATGGGGAACCTGGATGGAAAGTCTAAATGCCGTCTGAGCCTCAGCGCCGAGCGACAACCTCTAAACAAAGTTCCAAGTGATCCGATCCCAGGATGGCCCAACAGGGTAGGAGGCAAGGCAAAAAAAGGCATCAAACTAAGAGAATAGTCGTCGTACGAGTCATATCGCTGGGCAAGGGCCCTCGCCGTTGAGGGTTGGACGATGTCAACCATTCGCGATGATTGCTTGGACGGGAAGGTCAGGCCCCCACGCTTACTCCCAAATGGGTGTGCATTTCGACGCTATAACCATGGCTGAGAATGCAGATCATTTTGGCTTACCGCCAGATGGACTTAAGCCTTGAGCCCACGATCCCTGCCGTCGGGCCTTGGTTGCCAGTATTTCTAGGTGACGGGCCCCCGGGACTGGAGGATTGCACGCAGGAAGGCCCGGAAAGAGGGTCGCTGTCAGCATGGACCGGCTGCCAAAGAGCGGTGTCGCCAGGTCCAGTAGTCTTGAGTCCTCTCAGACTGGCCTCCATCGGGCTTGCAGATCTGGCCTAGGCCGGGTTAGATCGCGTGTCACTGCCATGTTACATCGCGGTGTGGATGTGTAGATACACTTTCGCGGAGAGAGCCAAAGACATTGTTCCAAAAATACATTGTCACGGTTGAGGGGGCCGTCTATCATTCCTCCCCAACCAACACACATGACTATTTTCAGCTTCGTGTGATAATCCAGGCCGTAGACACTGTATACGAGCTACAGCCATCTTTCCAGACGGTTGCTCCGTTGGCTGTGTTGGCGGAGAGGTCTATGAGGTCATACATGTCACAAAATCTCAGCCTCAGTCATCATCCGACCAAAAATCTTGAAGCGAAAAAAATTATGTCAACCAGCTCGACGCTCTTCACATGACAAAGACCCTCCAAAAAGAAAATGTTCTTATAATCAATTCATCCAAGAAACCGGAACCGCCGACGGGTCGGGGCCGCCGAAGTGTTCCAAAGTTTCGACATCTAACCACCACGAGAGACGGAAGTCTAAACACTAACTGCGCCCGGGCAGGCCGTTGGACTCAGATAACAAAGGAGTCCGGTCACTCGGATTCTGGGTCTTACCACTATCGTCCTCTGCATCTCTGTAGAGAATATAGTGCTGCACCACAAAGATCAGATCGAAAAAGATGGTAACGTTCGACAAGAGAAACTTGATGGGGTTTCCAGTGACTCCACTCCAATCATCTTGGAAGCTAGAATCCAGCAGCAACTGGGCAAGGGATAAGACACCTCCAGACAGATCAAATAAGATCTGTCCAATACTCCAGCCGTATGTGGATTTACGCTTATAGTTGACCCACGCTTGCGGTACGTACTTCACGATGGTGATGACCAATTTCACGTAAGAAAGGGCATATATCTAAATTGACACAAGATCCAGGGGTCAGAACACATGCGGATTAGCCATTTGCAGATCTTTGGACTACTTACGACATCGATCCACGCCCAGAAGTATGGATCAAAGCCGTTGTTTGGGCTCTGGCCGAGAACGATGAAAATAACGATTGTGACGCCGACTATAGAGCCCCAGAAAAGGCCTGCCACCGGCTTGCTCACTTTCTGATGGCGAGAGACCTTGAATCCCCAGATAAACGGCCAGAACTGTGTATAGGTGATAAAGCTAAGAACGACGGCATGTAGAGCAAAGGCAAAGTCGTTGAAGCGCACGGTCGGGTCCTCAGCATGTGGATGACGAGCAGCATACTGATGACGAATCACGGGAGAGTAAAGAAAAGCGGACGTATATATGGTATAGCACACGAAGCCTAGCACGTTGATGGTAGGAAAGTCGATTGCCAGCCCCGTTGTCGAACGTCGCCGGAAGTTGTTGATCGGCTGGGGATAGAAGGACGCAGACCAACAGAACGTGCTGAAGAACGTTAATTAGTATGTAAAATCCCCCGATGTCTCACGTCTGTCGTGATGGGTATCCTCCCTAGTACTCGCGGGTTTGAAGACGTACTATATCCAGCCGAGTAGGCTGCATTGCCATGGTGTTAGTACATGGTACAAATGAGATAAGGCGGATAGTTCAGGAGGAAGGTGACATACCGAGAGAGCGCTCTCACGAAGATTTCTAGCTGAGTTGCCATAGTTACCTCCTTGTAGATCTGCTGCTGCTTTCTTGTATAGGAGGGAGTAGGAGGGGCACTGCAGCGAGATGGAGAGGCTATCTATATGCCTCGATAGAAGGGAGGATGGAGTGGATCTGCTGGCGGAGAGAGCAGCTGATAAGATACGGAAAGCACGCGATTGCGGTCACCTGGCCTGACCGCTTTCCCAACTCTGTTGGCTAATCTCTGGAATTGGGCTCCTTGCAAGCCTGGTGGTTCGTTCCTGGGTTGATTAAATGATCTGGGCCCGCAGGGTTTACAATGAATACTATCTACTACTACAGAAAGACTAACGCGCCTCACTAGTATCGATCAAGTAACAAGGATTGGTGGAGTGGAGATACAACAAACCTTGAGCAGGACACTGACCCTGCTATTTGGATAGCAACCAATTTTCTTGAGAAACTATGTCGTCAGCTAATAGCTATTCCCGGATCTCATCGTGATCAGCACGTCTGTTAATTAATGCCAGTATTATCAAGATACAATAACTAGATGATCTGCGAGGGATCGTTCAATTGGTGTCGATGATAATCATACTCGCATACGCAGGCGGTCGCCCGCGGCAGAAGGCTGAGTCAGCGGGTGGTTGTCCGGGATATAGGCTGACGGGCTAAACCGCAAATGGAAAACAGTTGTTGCGATGAAGCGGCTTGCTTGCCCCAGCCTCAGCGGCATTCCAGCCTGCATCTCGATCGTTCGGCGGTTATCCGCTTCCCTGTCCCACGATCCGTTCATCTGCTTCAGTGCTGTTCTTTTTCTCTTCCAAGTGGTCTTCAATCGTTGGCTATACAGGCGGGTGTCCTGCCACGCTTCTCTTATCCTTGTCACATCTACTACCTAGCCCTCCCCCACCCTCCATCTATACCTATCACTCACCGCTAGCCTCTTGTTCCTCGAAAGATAAACAACCATTGCAACGCTGGGCTCGGTCGCGTTTTAGCCTCTGCGATCGAATTCCCCGGGAACTCAAGTTGACGCCACTACTATCGATTTCATTTGACCTTTCCCATCAGCGCATGGTGCATTCTTCGGAGTGGGGGATCTCGCTAGATCTCCGTCGGTAGTTCGAACATTCCAGTGTCAATGAGATCGGGAGGAATTCACGTCAATCGGAATCTATAAGAGCACAAGGTCTTCAGTAACCATGACGGTCGACTCTGGCCTCTCCGCTGCGGGGAGCAGTACTTACGCTTCGAATACACTGCATGTCGGCGATGGAACATGGGACTCGGAGCGCGACACATTCCTCCTCCCTAATCTGATGGGTATCAACTTCGACACAATGCGATACAACGGTAAGTAAGCTTATAGTTCTACGTTGCGCAAAATCGCTTACATATGTCAGGAATGGGAAACCGATTCAAAGATATGCCCGAGTACCATACCCTCATAGCCGTTCACGGTATCATCGCTACAATCGTCTTCCTTTTCCTCGTCCCAATCTCTGTCTTGATCATCCGATACTACTCTCGATGGAATCCTTTCTGGGCTTTCAAGCTGCATGTCTGGTGCCAAGTCCTGACATTATTGCTGAGCACCGTTGTGTTTGTGTTCGGTTGGTTCGCTGTTGGTCCAAAGAGAAGCCTGACAAACCCGCATCACGGTATCGGACTTGCGATATATGTCCTAGTGATTTTCCAAATTCTGTGGGGCTGGCTTGTTCATAAGATCGAGAGGAACAGGAGGAGTTATCATGTTCCCTTGAAGCTTGTTGTATGTTGTGTGACCGTTTGGTGTCCTGCTCAATTGCTAACTCACGCCAGATTCATCGATGGATTGGACGCGCCCTCGCAATCCTTGGTCTTGTTCAGATACCGCTGGGTCTCACCCTTTATGGCTCGCCTAAGGTGCTCTTTATTCTTTACGCGATCGTCGCCTTCATCCTCCTCGTAGTGTTCTTTGTGCTGTCATATCTATACGACACAGAAGGGTATCACATGGAGGGCGGTGGATACGAAAGCCGGCTCAGCTATGTCTCAGGGCCCTCAGCTGCCGACGACCATGGCCATAGTAACCTCGGGCCTATGGCTGCCGCAGGAGCGACCGGAGCTGGTCTGGCTTCGCTCTTCAGACGTCGTTCCAGAGGCAGACCACACGATTACGATGAATCGCATACCAGCTTCTCAGACGAAAAGCTTTCCGACGAAGGCGCACGACGTGGTGGCAAAGGGAACTTACTTCTAAAACTAGGTGCAATTGGCGGTGGTGCCTGGCTCGCAAAGAAATTCTTCGACAGAAGACGCGAACGAGACAACGACACGGAGTCCGGTCGATACAGCAGAGCCCATACTCGGAGTGACAGCATGACCGAAGAAAGCTTGAGTAGACTGGAAGATGGGCGAAGACCGGAGCCAACAGCGCATACTCCTCTCAACCGTCCGCCGAGCAGACCTCCCAGTAGACCTCCCAGCAGGCCCCCCAGCAGACCCCCGAGCAGACCACCAAGTCGACCTCTTAGCCGTCCTCAAAGCCCAGGCTCGTCGTACCTTTACAACAGCACCTATCTTTCCGAAGCTCCCCGTCGCAGGCCATCCCACGGACTCCGAGACGCCCTGCTCGGAGCAGGGGCACTAGCAGCGATCAAGGGCTTCTTTTCACGCCGCAAAGGTGATCCAGAACAACGTCGCGTGGAAGAGATGCGCCGTCGGGAGATGGAAGACGAGCGGCTAGCCCGGGCCAACAGCAAGCGACGCTACCCCGGAGAGGGCTATTACCCAAGACGCGACAGACCAGCATCGTTCACAGCCACGGACCTTTCATCAGACTTCTCCCGGCCACCCCGCGGTCCGCCGCACGGCGAGTCCATCGTCTCAGCCGCAGGACCCCCAATGGCATCCGGAGCAGTAGACGGAGCACGCTCAGACATACCACCGGCACCAGGACCACCTATTCCCCCACCAGCGGCCTCAGAATATCCCGGACCAGCAGCATCTACACACGGCCCCACGGAGCTCGCCTCAGGAGTAGCAGCCGGAACAGCCCTCGGTGCTGCATCATCGGCACATCGCCGTCGCAGCGCCAGCCGTCACCGAAGCAGCAGTCGACCCAGGAGTAGCAGCCGCCACCGTGATCCCATCGCATCTCCCCCGGTTTCCGTCAAAGTGAAAATGCACAACGACGGCCGCCACGTTACTCTCCGAAGACTAACGGACGAAGAAGCCGCCGCCAGTCGCGAAGCAAGACGAAGAGAGCGAAGGAACTCCCGTCGTCGCGCCGGCAGCGCAAGCTCACTATCAGGAAACGAAGGGGGTTCGCACGACCGCTGGCGCCGTGTCGAGGAGCTAGAACGCCAGCAACAGGAGCAGATGCAACGAGAGCAGGCTGCTGCTGCGGCGGCAGCTCCCTCAGCTTTCCCAGCAACTTCCGCCGCTCCATCATCAAGTATGCCTCCTCCTGCGGCGTCAGCTTACTATGCACCACCGCCTCAGAACGGGAATGGGGGCTATATGCCGCCTCCCCCGCCGCCCCCTGTGCCATCTAGTCATCCTTATGGGACAGGGAGTATCGCGTCTCCGGGTACGTTTACAGGGACGGAAGCGAGCGGGGACTACGCGAGCAATCGTCGACGAAGACGCGCGGAGAGAGCGCGTGCACGTCAAGAAAGACAACAGCATGGTGTGGAATTTACTTGATGAGAAGGTATCTCCTGCCATATCCTTGACGTCTCTTCTTTTTCTCCTTCTTCCCCTGTATAGCAACCTTGATGATTTCATGCCCCTTTGCTCTTTGGTGTTTAATTGCGTCCCATGAATCTGTTTCTTTTGATTTTACCCCCTTCATGTCAATCTTGAAATACGTTATGATGTAGAAGTGCCAATGACTCGCTGTCTCGGGTGTTGGTTCTTCTGGAAACTACGCTTCGTGCTTGTTGAAGATATTTGTGCTCGGAAAGAGCTTCTTGTCTGCCATTGATGTCCGGTAATGACGCTATGAAAGCAGCCATACAGAATGGTTGCAATGAGCAAGGGAATGGATATGAATTGTTGGTTTTATTTGGCTATTGGTTTATGATAAGATACTGCTATGATGAAATGGACAGTGCTAAGCTCATAAGCAGTAGGAGTCGGTGCTCCTTGAACTGTGGTTTTCTCATTTGTCTCTCTCCGATTCCTGCATATAATGGTCGCCATGTCGTTCATATTGTGCTGCATTCTTGTTCTTTAGTGAAAATAGAAAAATTGATGTTTTTTCACGTCTGAAGAGTACCATCAGTAGCAAATTACCGAGCGCCGCATTGTCCTCAATCATACATCGGCTGAGCAAGACATCATTCAAGCCATTAATTAAAGAGCCGCATGTTGATCTCTTGCACTCTTGGTCGTATCAGACTCCCTTGGGTGAATGGAGAACTTGACGCTGAACCTCTCTAGTACATACAATACTGGAAGTCCGATGAATCCCACAAAGAGGTGCACAAAGCTAGCCACGACTTTTCTGTGTGTCAGGCTCCGCAAGACGTTACACAAGGCCAAGATAAGCCGCATAGAGAGATACGGCATTGTAATATCGGCGCGAAAGAGACGGGTGGCATCATATGAAGAAACAGGTAGGTTGAGCTCTTGCTCTTGGTGTGTTCTAATAGACTCCGACGCGCTTGGGTTTGGCCATGGCCAAACGAAGCTCACAATGAATTCGTATGATGCATATCCGGAACGTGGGTGCTGAAGTGGTTGCTGTCCAACCAAGGTTATACTTATAACACCTCGTTCCTTTGGTTGTAACAGGTGGGAAATCCGGCTAAGTGGCTTCCCAAGCCAGTTCCCTATGCGCTTCAGTTTTGGCTCTGGTACCTCTTGGGGGCTTAACAAGGCGTTACTGGGGTTTTGGACGCATGTCTTGGCAGACCTCGACTTAGTGATTCTTAAATCCTGGCGCAATGGCAAGCCATCAATTGAAGGCAAGGGGGCGGGGAACGGCTGGTTCAGATTGTTCTTGACGAGGTAAGGCTTTGTGCCACGTTTGACAGGCCGGGACAGGAATCGGGATGGGCCGAGCTTGGGGTCACTCCAGGGTCCTCTGTGTCGCTTGCCGATATCATTGTCCATACCTTGTAGC